AGTGGGCAAACTTGGTATACAGGGACACCCTCTGTATTTCTTTTTAATCCTTCATCCCTGATGCAGTGACGTAAGCACCCATCCAGTGGTGAAGCTCGCCAACTTGGGTTGATAGACTAGTACAGACCTCCCTTGGTGCACCCGGTATAGTATGTGGTAGATCAAAAGTTATGACTAGGCCAAAGTTCCAAATGCCAGGTAAGATCGACCCAGTAGTGGCGATACTGATAACCCCTGGCCAAGAGGTTATCGTCCAAATATCTGATTCCATTCCAAGTTCGAATATTTGGTTGAGTGATTCAAGAGTGACTAAGGGCCTTCGTACTCTCTGGTAGATCAAAAATGCACAGTCAAATGCAACAGCACTCGGCGTGGTGTCAGAACAAATCCTCAAACTGAGACAAAATTTCAGGAATGGCACAAATACGATGCTCCAAAACTACCAGCAATCCCCAAAATTATAAAGATGGACACCAGAATGAAACCCAATGAAGGATTATTTCGAAAAATCACGATTTTCTGGATGCCCGTCACTGACCACTTATCACTCTCCGAGACTTGAGCGAGCCGAAGAGTTCCGAAGACGAACGACTAACTCCATCCGATTGATCCATAACTACTTTTAACGCCGACTCCTAGGTGGCGCTACTTACCCACTATAAATTTCACCATAATTGACGCCTTACTGACGACATGTTATGCTACGTAATAAAGCAAAGTAAACACCTTTATTTGAAAACAACATTCATGCAGCCCCATACCCTATGCACTTGTCACTCAACCCTTCGATGAACAACCCATACCAACAATGACAGCGATATTTTGCAAGTTGGCAGCACTGATCAGTTGGTAGCATTAGAATCGCCGATCGTGTCTATTCGGTCTGGACTGAAGTAGGATATTATCCACAGCTACCAAGTACTATACCTAGAATAACCTCAAGAATCTAAACATGAATATTATCAACAACAACCAACAAAATATACCAACACATCATATCCAATGATTGAAGGTGGGTGAATATAATGAAAAATCTATTCTCAAACTAAAATACCTATATACAATACGTCTTAGACGTGAAGTACCCGAAAGTAAACAAATGAACACAATAACAATTATTGTTTTCATTTCTATCGCAGGAGTGGACGAATACAGGTCAAAGCAAACGAAGAAACACTTTCAGCGGGACACTCGGACAGGCAAACGAATGCAAATGATACACAAAGCATACTGGATAGGTAAGTACACGAATATAGACGTTTATCTCGCAATAAATGGTACGTTCGAGTATATTAGTTGTTATTTAATTATTTTAGATCACCCACACAGATAAGTATGGTTTGCCCGCTTAATGGAATGAACCTTCAGGAAACTATACCTCAGAGTAGGTATAACTAACCTGCGTAACACTAGCTGAAAGTAGCCTTGTTGGGAAATTAATATACTGGGTGTCCCATTCGTGGTATGTAATGCTTTAAGGTCAAAACTGACCGCAACAAATCCCCCCCTTACTACAAGAGCTTTACCCCGTAAATTTCTTCATAACTCGATCACCCTGACCAAAAAAAAAGAATCCACCTTTCCTACCTATTCACCAACCGGGCCTGGCTTAAGATCTTTTGCATGCCAGACACCCTTCGAATTTCCATGCTCATCTCTGAGTTCGTATGTCCAGGGAGATAACCGTTTATCCACATAAAACGGCCCTACGAAAGACGGAGCAAGTTTTCGAGAAAAACCCTTCGCTGCATCGGATAAAACATAATTTTTCTTCCACACCAGCTGGTTTGGTAGGTATTCCACATGCCTACATCGAAGGTTATAACGTTCGCAACTCCTCTCTCCTGCAACTTCCAAACGTTTACGAACATCTGCGAACATCTCCTTGAATGACTCATTTCGACTAACTTCCGGAGTTTGAGTCCCATCTTCTATACCTAGCAGCTCCCTATTGACATAATCTCTACCACCAAGAGTCATAGATCGACCAAAGTTCATGAAATAGGGGGTCAGTCTAGTAATTTCATGTCTGGATGTCCGAATTGCACAAGCCAGTTCATCGAGATTTCCGTCCCAGGACCGATGATTATCCGACACGTACATTGATAACATCGTCTTCAAGGTGCGATTGACCCGCTCGGTGGGGTTAGCTCTGGGATGATAATTTGCATTGAACTTAATTCGACAGTGATATTTGTCTGCAAACTTCAAGAATTCTTCGCTCCGATATTGAGGTCCGTTGTCGCAAATCAGAATCCGAGGGACACCAAACAGCAAGAACACTTCCTTCTCTATCTTACGGATTATGGAGTCGCTTGAGGCCTTCCGGAGAGGAAAAACAAGTGGAAACTTAGTTAGATAATCTGTGACGACCAAAATAAAACTATTCCCATGTTTCGACCTTGGCAGAGGACCCATCAGATCCGTCGAAATTAACTCCCATGGCCTGTCTGGTTTGGGGTGAGAGACCATCTTATCCACTGGTTTATCATTGGTACCATTATGAGCTGCACACACCTCACAGCGATTAACAAATTTTGAAATGTCGAACCTCATTTTTGGCCAGTAGAAACGCTCTGCTACCCGAGAAAATGTTTTGTAGATCCCCATGTGACCAGAAGTGGCAGGCTCGTGGGCCTCGACAATGACTTGGTGACGGTTCTCTTTCGGGACTACAAGCCTCCAAGCATCAGCCTCCAACGACAACTTAGGGTAGTCACAACCAACATGCTTCCACAATTTACCTCCCGACTCCCTCCAGCCACCAAACTTCAAGGGATTTTTGCGAATTTTATCTAACATGTTCCTATACCACCTATCTTGGGAAACCGATGGAAATTCGGGTGGCATTTCAGCAACCAAGACAGAATCCACCACCGGAACCGACCTTGATAAAGCGTCTGGCACCACATGCTCTTTGCCTTTCCTATGGATGACCTGGAAGCTGTATTGTTGTAGTTGCACCGACCACCGGGCCAACCGACCATTCAAGTCCTTCAAATTCTGCAACCACAACAAACTATAATGATCTGTAACGACCGTAAATGATACCCCTTCAAGATATGGCCTCAACTTTTGAACCGCCCACAACACGGCCAAGCACTCCCGTTCCGTGGTGGAATAGTTCCGCTCTTGCCTAGTCAGCGATCTACTCAAGTAGGCAATAACGTGATCCCCGTCATCATGAGGCTGCGTCAAAACGGCTCCTATACCATAGCCCGAAGCGTCAGTTTGTACTACGAAGGGCTTCGAATAATCGGGACAGCTGAGAATTGGGGCAGAAACTAAACATTCCTTTATACGCTGAAACGCCTCCTCACACTCCTTGGACCAGTAGAATTTCGAACTCTTACGAAAGAGGCTAGTGATAGGAGCTATGATCGTCGAAAAATCTGATACGAAACGCCTATACCACGAAAATGTACCTACTATTCGACGCACCTCCGTAACGTTAGTAGGTGCAGGCAATTCTAACATAGCCTTAACCTTTGTTGGATCAACGTGCAACCCATTACGATCTATGACATAGCCCAAGTAGTGCATTTCAGGGCGGCAGAACTGGCATTTCTCCACACTGATGGTGATGTTAGCCTCCCTCAACCTGCGAAAGACCTCGTCCAAAATGTTCAGATGCTGTTCGAATGTTTGGCTCACGATGACCACGTCGTCCAGATAAACAAATACATGTGGTTCGAGATCGTGGCCCAGGACAGAGTCAATTATGCTTTGAATTCGTTTATGTTCTCGCGAGTAGAATGAGTTTTCATCTTTTTATATAGATAGTTTTTATGATTCACCGAGTTCACCAAGCCGTCTGTAATCCATTTTTTCAGTTTTATTTCTTTCTTTTTGCATTTGACCCTTCTCGAAGAATTTTTTATGAAGGTAATCAGTTTTTCGGAAAACTGTTTTGCTGAATTTTCAGCTGTATTTCTAACATCGAGTATATTTGACCATGTTTCTTTTTTAAATTTTGATATTAGTTGGCATTTATCTAGAATTATTTTTTCTTTTTTGGTATAGTCAACATCCATTTTATTATTTTCCTTGGGAATGATTCGACAGGCTATAGAAAAATGATCTATAACACAAGTTTGAATAACTGCAGGAAAAATATCGTCGCATTTTCTATTCGACTTCAGGAAAAGATGATCGATACATGATTTACTGTCTCCTTGCACTCTTGTGTATTCATTGATAGTAGAAACAAAACCTTCTTCACTCAAAATATTTAGATACTCATGCACATTTTCGTCGTTTGCCAAAAGATTTATATTCATGTCTCCTACTAGAACATGGAAATCAATATTTTTGGGACAGTTTTCCAGATAGTAGTTCAAATCATTGTTGAAAGTTTCAATATCTAATGAAGGTGATCTATAAAATGCTGATATCATAAAGATGTGTTGTTTGATATTGATAATCAATTGAATTGTATTCATTCCATCATTATGGTTCAATTTTATTATTTTATGAGAATATTTGAGTCCCTTCTTTATAAATATCACCACTCCATCGCATTTGTTAACTTCACCTCCATTATATATTAATTCGTAGTCCTCGATATGATATAGAGATTGGTCACTTATTTTCCATGTTTCAGAAAGGACCACGATATCTAGATCATAGTTAATTTGATGCAACAATACTTTCAACTCATCTAGATTTTTATTTATGCTACAAATATTTATATGAAATATGTTCAGTTTGATTTTCCCCTTATTCTGATCAATATTTGAACTAAATTCAGCTAAATTATTCAAAATCCTCGTTTCGATTGTTTTCAATTCATAATCTCTAATGTATGCGTCCATTTTATCTATCGGATACTCGAATTTTCTATATTTATATATATTCAGGACTCATAAATCATACATAGACCTATAAGTATAGACCGAACAGTAGGAAATAATGAAAAAGAAAAAATAGAATAAATGGAATTTGAAAAATAAATGTGATAGTACATATGAAAGTGTATATTGCTGCTATAGTAATGAGAATTATTTTTGATTGTTTCTTCTACTTGAACGCGCTGGTTGTGTATATCTTGTTTCTTTCGCAATTTCGAGTTGTTCCGCTGTATCATCCCCTTTGACACCCTCCTCTTCTCTGCCTTTTCTTTTCGTTGGTATTTCTGTTTGTTGCTTATCACTTTGTCGTGGTTCTTCTTTCTGACTCTGTGATATATTTCCAAAATTTTCGCCTATCAAATTTTCATGTGTGTAATTCTCTCCTTCTACTATTAATATTTTTCTCTTCAAAAATGCTTTCAATCCTTTGCTCCTAGCTTTCTTCAAACCCTCATACAAGATTTTTCTTTCTTCGTACTCTTCTTTAGTAAAGTCTTGTGCTATGAAGACTGGAGTACCTCTCAGTTTTTCCTTTGCCTCTTTCAAAATTTCACTTTTTATTTTGAAAGTTGCTAACTCTGCCACAACTGGACGCGGCTTGGTATTTTCGCTTTTCCCTATTCTATAAATGTCCTTTATGTCTCTCTCTTCACAGTCGATTTGGAGTTTCGTTTTTAGTAGCTCGATCGTAGTATTATATGTTTCTTCTTCAGATCCTCCTATTCCATATATTATTATGTTGAATTTCTTTGCTTTTCGTTCCAAGTCATGTATTCTTCGTTGCAGCTTTTCATTTTCTTGTTCCAATTCCTGGTTTTTCTCACGTTCTTTTGTGAATTCCTCTGTTAGTGTCGATAATTTCTCATTGATTTTTTCAATTTCTCTATGGGTATCTTGATTTTGGACAGCTATATTACTAATTTGCTTCTGTATCAGTTCTGTTTTCACAGCTAATTGTTTCAAAAATTGAAATATGGTTTTATTAGTTACTTCATCTCCATCAATCTGATTCTCGGCAATTTGTTGTTCATCGCTATTTATTTTATCATCATCCATTTCTCTCTCTTTGTTTCAGTGTCGTCGCTGTCCCTAACCTCTACGTCTGTTTCTTCGATCCTGCTACACATCAATCACGAAAGACGTGTGAATACTGCCAATACCAGTCGATATGCGGATTAGAATTTATTTGGCGCTTGTCTTATCAGAAACTAGCATGAAGTGGGAGTATGACTTACTTGTCCATACTGAAAAAACTGTTTGTCGATTTCACTGTAACCATCACAATTAATCAACTTTTCTTTTATATAAAAGGATGAAAGTATTAAAAAGTCAAACACATTTGCTATCGGCAGCTGTACATCGGGGAACAGATAAGTGAGTTCAAATTATAGGCTAGATGGTGAAGAAAATTCAAGTTCTTGGACGCCAATCAATTTATAAAAATCCTACAATTTGGATAATTGAGAGAACCAAATTTCTTTTCGAATAATCTATTTTTCAAAATCTGAAAATGGTTCAAGGTGTATTCTCTTAGAAGGCTGGGCTGGACATATGGAAGAATGAATACCAACATAAAATTCAAGACCTATTATATTTCACACCACCAGAGACAAGGTTATATATGGACCTATGTAGAGGCCTGCTGTTTCATGATGAAAAATAATCACTAAAGTACTGTATTATTTCAATAGTGTAGGTTGAGTGAATTGCATGGTGATTCTATCATGATTTTTCTATCTATACCAGGACAATTACCATATTTTTAGAATAAGTGAAATTAAGTATAGTAACAATACTATTTCAACTATAAAACGGAATGTATAACTAGTCAAGGAATGATAGCGCAATGAACTGTTCAGCAACCGCAGTCACATACTATACTATGGAAGAGCTCCACAAGAGCTTCACCAGTTTGTGAATTGATACCGTAAAAAATGTAATTACTCAACCAGTCTCAGATGTGAAAAAAAATGTAGATAATTATGTATCAAAAAGGTAAAACACTGAAGGTGGAACAAAAAAACCTGATTGTGGTCCAAGGGTCCTCTGCAATGGTCCAGATCATCCCTATCCAAGGTCCCAAGTGGTATGAGTGTAGATGTGCAGCATAGGTCACTGCAGGTGAAGACAACACAAACGAGGATTGCTGAACCTCCACGGTCAGCAGAGTTCCAGGATGCAGTAAAACCAGGGATCAGTCTCTACCAGCTGCTACTGGGTCCATCTGGTGTCTCCATGGTCGAGTCTGGCCAAGATCCGAAGACCTTGCAGGATTACTCAGATCCAAGGGGGGATCTTGACAAGGGTAGAGTAGAGTTTCCTTAGGGCCGGTCGCTACCAGGAGTCCTAAGCACAGCTAAGCTGCACCCTAGCACCCTAAGAAAGAACTGAATATAGCCTCCTGAGAGGAAACACAGCACGTGGAGACAACAGAAAAAAACTGAAGAACAGTATATATTTTCGAAGATTTCACTGCTGAATCTGCTATGGATGTGACTTACCTTCTGAGAAGGGAGGTAGGATTGACGAATTATTAAATCTTGCTTCTCAGGACTGAAACAGGCCGGGCTGCATGGCTTCTAAAACTTCATGGCAGTCTCCAGGAACAAATCCCACTAATAGCTTCCTGACGGAGATTACATCCACTGACCGGTAAGCAACGGCTTCCCAAAAATCAAATTCCCCTAAGGGTTTCTACGGTTTTCACCGAGAAAATCAAAATCACTTTATCCACAGGTTAAGTGCACGCCACCATGGCTAACCGAGAAAAAGTGAGGCAGCTACGTGCCGGAAATCCTCCTACTCTCGTTTTACGTAGTCAAAAAACCCTAGCTTCCTGTTAAAATCCCAAATTAGCGCCAAATATGAAATCCAAGAATCCTATTGGTCGAAAAAATGCTTACGCCCCAATTATTAAGAAGAATTGTTCTTCTTCTTCTGTCTCCATTGGAATAATCTCCAAATCCTTCACGGAAGACAAATGACAGTCCACAATGACTACAGTATGACAGCAGTGACAGTGACATCCTGATGACACACGAAAATATAAACCTGAAATATTATCTAAAAAATAAACAAAGAAATTTATATCCAAATTGAAACCAATTCAGAATGAACAACATCATAAATCCTGAGATATTCCAGCGAAATAGGATTTATCGCCCTGGAGAACATCAACGGTAAGTGTCTGTCTACTTTAGAATGGATTACAATATTAAATATTTTTTTCGATTCTAGGGCCTTAGGATCAGAACGCCAGAAATCGAAGACTCCTGCAGCTTACATCATCACTTCCTATTAGCACATAGAATATCAGAAGAAATGAGTACTCTACTATTGGAATTTGTTTGTTAAAAGATCTCGTTCAAAACTGTGTGTGATATGATATGGTTGTTTCATTAAATGTTCTACTACTCAAGGATTATTTACTATAATGTCAGACTGAATGTTTACTGTGAGTATGGTTTCTTCTCAAATTCATAAGGTGAGAATTTGAAGACTATGTTGATGACACGAAAGAAAAATAAAAACACATCTTAGCAAACCACAGTGCTACTCTACTGTAATTTGATAAGTTTCATCAAAAAAATTAGCTAATATTATCTTGTAGACATTTCAAATGCTACAAAGTTACAGCGCAACTTATGCGAATGATTTCATCTGTGTTCATATTCCTTCATTTGTGAGTGTTCACGGTAAAACACGATTTGTTTTCAGGTGGTTCCGCAAGTTCCTGCAACTACCCTGAGTCCGCACCTCCCAGGACCGGCCTAGGCAGGTGTCTGCCTTGGCTGTTCATAGACAGGTCGCCCGTGCCGGAATGTCGTTAACAGGCCTGCCTGTCAGTCTTCTTAGTGCCATTCATGCCAGACCCATACCTGAGGAAAGAGATTATCGCCTGATTTTTTTGCAGCATCCTATAATTTTTTGCGAAATGATCTAGAGGTGAGCGTTTGATGAATATCTTCTCATATCTTCTCATACATCCTCCTCCTCCTCCTCCTCCTCCTCCTCCTCCTCCTCCTCCTCCTCCTCCTCCTCCTCCTCCTCCTCCTCCTCCTCCTCCTCCTCCTCCTCCTCCTCCTCCTCCTCCTCCTCCTCCTCCTCCTCCTCCTCCTCCTCCTCCTCCTCCTCCTCCTCCTCCTCCTCCTCCTCCTCCTCCTCCTCCTCCTCCTCCTCCTCCTCCTCCTCCTCCTCCTCCTCCTCCTCCTCCTCCTCCTCCTCCTCCTCCTCCTCCTCCTCCTCCTCCTCCTCCTCCTCCTCCTCCTCCTCCTCCTCCTCCTCCTCCTCCTCCTCCTCCTCCTCCTCCTCCTCCTCCTCCTCCTCCTCCTCCTCCTCCTCCTCCTCCTCCTCCTCCTCCTCCTCCTCCTCCTCCTCCTCCTCCTCCTCCTCCTCCTCCTCCTCCTCCTCCTCCTCCTCCTCCTCCTCCTCCTCCTCCTCCTCCTCCTCCTCCTCCTCCTCCTCCTCCTCCTCCTCCTCCTCCTCCTCCTCCTCCTCCTCCTCCTCCTCCTCCTCCTCCTCCTCCTCCTCCTCCTCCTCCTCCTCCTCCTCCTCCTCCTCCTCCTCCTCCTCCTCCTCCTCCTCCTCCTCCTCCTCCTCCTCCTCCTCCTCCTCCTCCTCCTCCTCCTCCTCCTCCTCCTCCTCCTCCTCCTCCTCCTCCTCCTCCTCCTCCTCCTCCTCCTCCTCCTCCTCCTCCTCCTCCTCCTCCTCCTCCTCCTCCTCCTCCTCCTCCTCCTCCTCCTCCTCCTCCTCCTCCTCCTCCTCCTCCTCCTCCTCCTCCTCCTCCTCCTCCTCCTCCTCCTCCTCCTCCTCCTCCTCCTCCTCCTCCTCCTCCTCCTCCTCCTCCTCCTCCTCCTCCTCCTCCTCCTCCTCCTCCTCCTCCTCCTCCTCCTCCTCCTCCTCCTCCTCCTCCTCCTCCTCCTCCTCCTCCTCCTCCTCCTCCTCCTCCTCCTCCTCCTCCTCCTCCTCCTCCTCCTCCTCCTCCTCCTCCTCCTCCTCCTCCTCCTCCTCCTCCTCCTCCTCCTCCTCCTCCTCCTCCTCCTCCTCCTCCTCCTCCTCCTCCTCCTCCTCCTCCTCCTCCTCCTCCTCCTCCTCCTCCTCCTCCTCCTCCTCCTCCTCCTCCTCCTCCTCCTCCTCCTCCTCCTCCTCCTCCTCCTCCTCCTCCTCCTCCTCCTCCTCCTCCTCCTCCTCCTCCTCCTCCTCCTCCTCCTCCTCCTCCTCCTCCTCCTCCTCCTCCTCCTCCTCCTCCTCCTCCTCCTCCTCCTCCTCCTCCTCCTCCTCCTCCTCCTCCTCCTCCTCCTCCTCCTCCTCCTCCTCCTCCTCCTCCTCCTCCTCCTCCTCCTCCTCCTCCTCCTCCTCCTCCTCCTCCTCCTCCTCCTCCTCCTCCTCCTCCTCCTCCTCCTCCTCCTCCTCCTCCTCCTCCTCCTCCTCCTCCTCCTCCTCCTCCTCCTCCTCCTCCTCCTCCTCCTCCTCCTCCTGTCACTGCGTTTGAAGAATTTTCCTATCAGAGAGCCGAAAATTCGATGTGGACAATGAAATGGAAACAAAATGATTCTTCCTGAGTTCTTTCTTTATCTTTATTTTATACATGGAGGAAGCGATACTAGTTGCCGTTGGTGATGAATTTGCGCGTGCCCGTGATTTTTTCAATAACGCCGAAACAGCAACAAATTTATTATCGAAATAGTGCAGTTAGATCATTTTTTGCGGTGAAGAACTGACTAGTCGAATGGTTCGTATCTTGAACGAAGGTATTTGATTTAGATTTTTCCATAAATGCTCAATGGGTGTTACTTCGCAATATCTGTACTTCTCTGTCACACTCATTGGGCATATGGAAGCTAAGAACGCCATCTTCGTATTCGTTTGAAAAAACCCTGTCAAACCCGCTATCCTAGAACTCGTTATGATAATCCTTATTGCCAAATCATGGAATAATAAACATTAAAAAGTCAGCAGTTGGGATAATTTCCTGTAAAACTGTGTAGCAAAACAACATTGTTAACTCTCTCTTACCTCAGCCACCGTATAATTATGGTTTACGTGTCCACCGGGTA